ACTACATAGAAAACCCTCGACTACATAGTCTCGACTACATAGTCTCGACTACATAGTCTCGAGTCTCGACTACGTACTCTCGAGTCTCGAGTCTCAAGTTTCGACTACAAGGCGTAATACAAGCCTATTTTGTGGAAAAAAGGAATCACAATATTAAGCATATTTAGCCAATAGGCAATTACCGATAGCCCTCTCGACTACACAAGAAGGCATCAAACTACTAGCTGAGCTGGTAAACGACATGTCTTTAGGCTATGGCGACACGTCGGGACGGTCGTTTACATGTTTTTTTAGGCGACATTTCGCGACATTGGGGTCGCGACATGTCTTATGGCCGACTCAAGATTGAAGAAATCAGACCCTCTGAATGATCAATATCTATAAATTTCGCCAATCACCACGGAACCTTTGGTGAACATGAAAATTCTAAAAATTTCCGACTGTATGTATGACAACGTGCCCAGTATGTAAATCTAAACGACATACGACATGTTTCAGACGACACGTCACGTCGCGACGGTCGTTTACATGTTTTTTCAGACGACATGTCGCGACCTCATACACGCCAGCCCAGCAAGCATACAAGAGCGCTATTTTAATATATTAAAATAGGTTCACTTTCGTTTTTTTAAGACAAGAATCGTATTCGCCGGTGCCATATCCGTCCAGGGAACGCGTAGCCATTGGATTTATCATATCAGTTGCTATGATGGTTATCGGGATTTCGAAATAGTGAACGCTGTCGGTGGAGTATTTGATTGGACGCGTCTTCTTCTGCAATACAAGGACTAATCAAATACATATTTTTAAAATTGGAGGGCGTGTAAGACGTGCATCATTGCCTCATTGGATGATAGGATGATACGTGGTGACTTTTTTCCCACTCTTTAGGATCAGTGGATCATTGATAACAGTGATAAGTTATCACAGATACTAAAGAGTGCTGAAAGTCAACACATGCCTGCCTCAGCTTGTCGTGCAATGCAGGTCAACCAGATCTTAAACTCTAGTAGAAAGATAATCATGCGAGGTAGACTATATTACGAGGTAGACAACATCAATTTGGATTCATTCTACAACTACAGGAATACACAACAAGTATAATAAACGCGCCATGTTGTACGATATGACAATGTTGTCAATATTTTTTTGCATTGGAGGCCTTTTACTGCTGGCTCTCCCACGGTTTGGCTTAACGCAACGCCTAGCAAATCGGCAGCGGTGCCTACGCACTCTGAGAAGCCAAGTTCCCGATTGGGATATTGAAGCGTGCGATTTTGCTGGTAAGCAACGTGAATCCACTGACCACAAGGGGAAGGTTACAGAATATGCGAAGGAATACATGTTACTGAACGAGCTGAGAGAGAAGGACGCCGAGGAAATGAAGCAGATATCTGCCGATAACGACAAGTATAGCGGAAGGTATGAAACGCTTGTTGTTACTGAGCTTCCTAAATTTCCGGAGAAAATGAAGATGTTGCAGGGGGCAAGAGTCAGATTCGATATTGAGCACAACGCTCAGGTACATTTCATTGAGGACGAAACCAGAGAGGTTTTGGCAGAAAACGATTGCCTCCGCCTCCAAGTGGATTATGAAGCGTTTTGTACGAGTAAGAAACCCTCTATGGCTGGGCAATCCATGGCTGGGCGATCACCGAAAGGAAAATCTAAAGCGATGGTCCAGCCGTAGATGGCCCAGATCTACGGCTGGGCCATCTCCGACTGGTATATCCATTTCACTTCTAAGGTCGTCTAGCTTAAGCCCTGGGCCTCCATGTTGTACGATATGACAATGTTGTCAATATAATTTTTTTTTTGCATTGGAGGCCATTTACTGCTGGCTCTCCCACGGCTTGGCTTAACGCAACGCCTAGCAAATTGGCAGCGGTGCCTACGCACTCTGAGAAGCCAAGTTCCCGATTGGGATATTGAAGCGTGCGATTTTGCTGGTAAGCAACGTGAATTCACTGACCACAAGGGGAAGGTTACAGAATATGCGAAGGAATACATGCTACTGAACGAGCTGAGAGAGAAGGACGCCGAGGAAATGAAGCAGATATCTGCCGATAACGACAAGTATAGCGGAAGGTATGACACGCTTGTTGTTACTGAGCTTCATAAATTTCCGGAGAAAATGAAGATGTTGCAGGGGGCAAGAGTCAGATTCGATATTGAACACAACGCTCAGGTACATTTCATCGAGGACGAAACCAGAGAGGTTTTGGCAGAAAACGATTGCCTCCGCCTCCAAGTGGATT